GTGATGGAGGGATCACTTTCTTGCTTTGAGTAGGATACAGTCAGGGAACTGGTCTCTTGTGATTATTCCCATCGCCAAGGAGGGTATGCGTTTGTTTGTTTATTTGCAGGATTACGCAAAAACATGCAAAAAGAACCCATTATATTTTGGGGGAACTCCAGATCATATGTAGTGAATTTACATGTGGTTTCAGCAGTGGCATCACTTTCAAATCTTTTTTCATGTAAACTCAAACATGATTTTTGCATTTGCAGATTAAATTCCTTGAATTTACTTGAATCTCAGATCAGATCTCAGTTTTCCTTACCTCCTCTTGCCCTTTACCATTGACCAGCGTTTGACCGCTGTCACTGACACTTTTACTGTATGAAATATAACTCATTGTTGTCTTATTCAATATCGCTCCCCCTGAATAAGTCCATAAATGCATTAGGGTCCTGTGTCTCTCCCTGTTCTCCCGACTCAGGGTTGAACTGGTGTTCAACCCGGCAGCGTTGTAAAATGCAGATTGGGTTGACTGACAGGGCTTCCATTTTATTACACAGTCACGAACAGAGCTGTAAACTGTGGCTCGTCCTTCACTTTCATTCGCTTGTTCCATCAGGGTCATGAGAGCAGAACTCTGAACGTTGCTCACATTGTTTGGTATCTTTTGGAGATGAGATGATGCTGTGTGAAGTTTTTAAATGTTTTAAGTTGAAATTATTGGTCTTGTGATTTATGGCGCAGATGCCCAAAGTAAAAACACAAGTCTTTATCTGGCTTTCAAGTTTGCAAAGGATGAAATTGAGAGAAATGTGATCTGTGTTCAGTTTCTACTGCTGTAAATAAAGCATGGGTAATAGCTTACTCATTAGTATATCATTAGTTAACAATACACATAAGGACACAAAACCTTTTGTAGCTACCAGCCATGTCCAATGGCATTGTTGGGACCTGTCTTGTCAGCAGCGGTTGTTTTGCATGATACACATACTTTAAACTTTCTTTGTTTTCATTTAATGGAACTGAAATGAATCCATTTAAAAATATATACTTTAAACTTCCTGTACAACATACATATAACAAACACATGATTCTGTATGTCTAGGACAGAATCTATGTGATTAAACACACAACAACTTATTATTTTGGTTAAACAATATAATACTTCAAATGTCAAAATGTCAGAGAATAATAAGAAAAAAAAGAATGCGTGAAGTCTTAAAAAGAAAAATACTCTTTCTATTATAAATATTACAGCAAACAAGCTTAAAAAAATCTAATTATCAATTGAATCTCAAATCAGTTTGTGAAGAATTTTCAAGCTTTAATCTTTAAAATATAATTTATGATATTTCTAATTATGTTGTTAACCAATATTTAGCGTCTGAGGTGTCATTCAGGTCAAAGCTGCATTTAACAAGGTTTGATTTTCATTTGTGCTGCGTCAGTTATCTGCTCTGTGGACCTCTGCCATTAAATCATGCTGGCCTTTGTCCGTGGTTTAGATTCAGTTTAAGGTTAAATGCCTTGCCCTTAAACTCATCCGCCGGGCCAAAGTGTGTGGCAAGGTCACCGTTCCAATCAACTGAGTGTTAACACAAAGGCTGCTTGTCCCCTAATGGATTAGCTCTACAGTGGCTCAATGAGTCACTGCACCACCCCTCCAGCCCCTCGCGGGCCTTCCCAGCGCTGCTCTCCTTTCACACGCACCACCTAGCCCTTAATTTTGAAATGAGTTTTATAACTGGACAGTAAACTTCCAGTGGGTTAATGATGATGGCTTCTTCATCTGCCCAAATGCTCCTTTTGTCCGCCCCTCCCCAAGCCCCGGACCCTGCCCCCGTTGCCTCTGGTCACACCAGGCCTTAAACCCTGGTTCACCCCACTTTATAGTTCCACAGATAATCCCCTAGAACACACACACACACACACACATGCACAGACACACACAGCCTCAGGCTATTATCTCCACTGAGCCTTGCACTGGTCTCTTTCTCCCTCTCTTTCTCTCCCAACTTCAGCAATGGCATTCAACTGGAATGTTTGCCTTTGTTTGTGTGGCCTACTGGAAAGCCATGAATGGCCTTAGCTCATCTGCTATCCTCACTAGCACCGATTTGCACTTCAGGGCCCAGCAGGTAGTCCCGAGCCGAGGGAGGAGGGAGGGTCTCGAAGAAGGCTGTGGGGCTTTTATAAGGAAATTAGAGCCGTGGACTGCCACCCGGACAGTAAACAAAGGTGCGAGTCCTCACACCCTTGGCGTTACGCAGCCCTGTATGAAACGAGGAGTCCTGTTTGTGGGAATTTTCACATGGTCGCCATTTCGGTTTGTTGTTTTGCTTTTTTGACAGTTGAGCTGCGGGATTGTTTTCTTATTATAAGAGTGAGACGTGTTAATTGGCACCTCGGCCACTGTGCTTCCTCCTCACCTGATTCTCTCAGTTTGTCAGTGGAACCACATCTGCTTTTAATTGTGTCTGAACCTTAATCTGACACTCTATGTAATATATGGAGTCGATCTTCATGTGCTAGGCTAGTTGGGTCGATCAGAGGAGCAGTTTAAGTTGAGTTGATGATTCTCTTGTTGCTCTATGCTGCCTTGAGCGGCCATCGTGTGTTCGGCAGCTGCTGAGTCAGCTAAAGACAAAGCTGTGGCACTCATCTGGGAATCTTAAGAGAGAGGAAGAACCCCCCCTCTTTCTCTGAATCTAGAACAAGATCTCCCCCCACGGCTGATCACGTGACTCGTCTTTCCTCAGGTGGCAGGGACACTTCCCCTTTGTCAGGGATTTTAGCAGGAGCTCAATGCAGAGGTGAAGGATGGGCTCGGGGGGCGGGCAAGCATTCAATCCACACTCTTTTGTTTTTTTTCTCTTTTTTCGAACTGTGTCTTTTGAGGCCAAACAAAAAAAATGCCGGGTTTACTCATTATCTCCGTTCTAAATGGGGCTATTTAAGACGGGCCATGTCAAAGTCAGGGGCTGAGGCATAAATCACGCTGACAGCTCTTTTCCCTCAGTTGAACTTGTGGCTGCGCCGGAACCTTAACAGATGACTGGAGAGATTTCCCTTCTGCTTACACCTGATAAAAAACACTATTAACAGCATCTCCGCCACCTACTGTCACACAAACTGATGTGATGCTCGAAACTCGTTTATTTGTCTCGTGTGTGGTCTAAATCAGCAAGAGCCGGACAAATTTCACAGTCAAACTCAAGCCCAATGTTTAGACAAATGTGGCTGATTGGGAGAAATGAGTGCGTGAAGGCGCCGTAAGGACTAATGGGGGCCCTGATTGGCTGGTGCGGTGGTTTACAGCCGCCCTCACGCTGACTGCGCCCTCATATAACCATTGGAGGGGAGGTGAGAGGAGCTGCACACGACTTGATTAAAACAACTGTTGACTGTGTCTGTGGTAATGAACTGGAACATCAGTCACGCGGCTCGGTGGATCGGGAGAAGTTGATAAAGAGAGAGTTCAGAAATATAAAAACTGTTGTCAGAGTTTATTTCAGACATTATGTGTGAATTATTTTGTTGATGTATTGGGTCATTCGTGTGTTCAAGTTGGTATTTTGAAAAATCTGCATTAGAGTTATTTTGTTTTAATCAAATCAATGTGTTTGGTGGAAGATATTTTTTAAATATAAAGCAACTTGGGTGACTAGTGAATATCCCCTGCTTTCAAGTAGATGTGAGTTTACTCAGACCTACTGTTTACCTGACAAATTCTTGCTGACTTTACCGAACATGAAGTAGTTGGCAGGAAAACAGACAAAGGAGCTTAAGTACACTTTATACTGAAAATGTTGTTAGTTTTGTAATGATGGTAAGACGATTAAATCACTTAAACTGCTCTCTAAAGGTTTTTTTTCCTCCTTATCAATTTGATAGTTTTTGCTTATTGAGGGTTAAGGGCAGAGAATGTCACACCTTGTTAGGCCCTGTAGGCAAAATGTTATTGTGAACATGGGCTTTAAGAGTAAAGTTTGATTAATTAATTGAAGAACAAGATGTTAAAGTCTCCAAATGATTTTGGATTTTGAACTAGAAGAATGAATGAAACCGGACTCAAAGGGGAAAAGGCGATTTCTTACATGTCAGTGAAATTCAAGTTAAACTTAAGAAAATGTATCATTCAACCGCAAGTTGTAGATGTGTGTTTCCCATCATTGATGCGACACATTCTTCACTCAACCCACATATACAGTGTCATCGGTCTTGACCATTAGTTATTTCCTCAGAATTTGTCCCCTCTCCTCTTGGCAAAGTCGTGATAAGGTGCTAGCGCTGATCACTGAGCTATAATGACACATAATCCCCCAACATCTGCCAGCGCCTGTTGATTTGCGGTGCATTCCCGTTTATTTATTTTGACCAGATGAGCCTCTGGTATTTACAGCCGGAGTAAAAACCCTAGTGTGGGGTCAATCCCGGGCACGGCTTCGAAGACAAAATGCTCAGGCTGACCTGAGACGAATTCTGCTGTTGTGAATTGGCCCCCAATAAAAAAAAAAAAAAAAAAAGTTGGGTTTGGCAGCGAGAGGCTGAGTTTTTGGTGTGAGAGCGAAAGTTTAGAGATGACCTCCCTTCCTCGAATGCCTCCACATGACAAGGTGCCCTCGGCAGATGTCTTTGGCGTGCTGGGGGTCACGCGTGGCAGGGCGCCGTGGCTGTGTGGCGGCGTGGAGATGTCGCTCCCCTCCTTTGTTTCCCCCCTACTCGACTCTGCAGGCCTCCAAGAGCATCTGTCACCACAGGGGGTCAGCAGGGCCAAGATGAATGAGCCCCCGGTGGATTCCCTCCCTCCTTGGCAAATGGCACAGGACAGAGGAGGGCATAGGGGACTTGGGGGAGGGGTCTGTGTTTGTGTGTGTGTGTTTGTTTGCATGCCAGTGAGAGAGGGACAGAGGCAATGAGGGAGAGAGAGAGAGAGAGAGAGAGAGAGAGAGAGAGAGGGAGGGTTTCTGCTGTACTGAGGGGAAGGAGTGGGATTCACATTTCTCTCTATACAGGATCATGACAAAGGTGACTTGAGACCCACCACAGAAGAGTGAAACTCCATATGCTGCCTGGATATTAGGAAATTCCTTCCACCAGGATTTATAATCTAACATGGACTGCATTTGAAAAAAAAAAAGGAAAAAGCCGCCTTCACATTTGGGATTTACTGCATTTGATTTGGATTCGATGGGTTTCCTGTGCTGCTCCGAGGCGTCATGGAAGGTACAGGAGAAGTTTTCTTGTGTGTCACGTGGTGTAGCATTAATGAGATGGGCTTTTAGCACCTAATTTAGAGAACATGCAGAGATGTTTGTCTTTTTTTCCACCCCCCCCCACCCACTCTCTCTCACGTCTGATGGGCATGGGTTGTCTTTTCGGATGTTAACAGTGTGCTGAGCTCTTTCCCGCATTTCAACCATTGGTATGGACTTTTACACGTGGAAGCATAACAATGAGGTGAAAATGACTTGAGATATTTATCAGATTTCCATTAACATCGTATCTGCTGCTACACCAGGGACTGAAATGCTTCAGTCAACAGTTAGTTTTAATTTAGGCTGAGAAAATCTTTTTTAGTGGCCTGCAGTTTCTTAATCGGCAAAATTTTAAAGCAAGATCAAATGTCAACAGTTTGGAGGGAATGTCACCACAGATAAAGATTTCTTCACATTTCTGTGGACTTTAAGTGAAGAAACTGCTGATTCATAGTGAGATTAACCAGGTTACACTGTAATGTTACTATGCAGCTGAGGGAGAAACAAAAGGCCCAGAGAGAAAAAGGCAGATTTGAAAGTAAAGTCAACTCAGTGGAATAAATAATAAAAAAGAAATTGGGTTAAATGTTAAATTATTACATTGAGTTTTAAACAACATGTGATATTGGTAAGACTTTTATTTGCTTCACACAAACTAAAATTCTGACATTAACCAACCAAACCTATTCCAGGTGTTTTAAACAAAATTCAATTTCATGCTTCACTTACTTTCATATGCAACAATAAGT